GTGAAAGCAGATACACAGATAAATGCTGACATTTCCTGTACTGGCTGTCATTTCGCTCATATTTCACAGAAAAGGAGAAAAAACAGAAAATGATGGTATTGCTAATGAAGCGCCCTAAATCAGATCAAATGAAATGATAGCTCCCAGCATTATGAAAATTAACATAGATGGAACCATTTCCATCATATATATACTAGATAAAGCATTGCCCACCATACACAACCCATCTCGCCGCTTCACGTACCTCAAATTACAGCATACATGTGTATATTCATGAGTGTGAGTTTGTCACTTTTATCCAAATCTTTGCTTTAAAGGTGAGCTGGCATCTACTCTCAATTAATAGTCTCCATCTAAAAAGGCCTCACATTTGTTTTAGTCATTTATGGTCATTATATTATTGGCCATTTTTTTTTTTTTAGTCTCCTTATTCTTAAGTTTTTTTATGGTTTATTTATTTAAATAAAACTTCCTGGATGAGGAGAGCTGGTCTGCAAGTGTGTTGTAGAGAGCTGAACAATTCTAGTGACAATGAATTTTTATAGGCAGAGAGACATTCCGTGGATCAGAATATGTTGTACCATTTTATTTACTGGGACATAACCAAACACCTCCTCTGACAAACTCCACATACGGCCAAGCGCGTAGATAGATTCCAGTGGCGACGACTGGAAATTCAGCTCACCAAAAGTATTAGTCCACCAAACAGCTCAAGGCACAAACTCTTCCATCCCTGGCAGTCCAAGAATACCCCAGAGACACCTGATCACCAAACATGCTCTCCAGTATAAGGAAAGGTAAACGAGGACAATGCTCAATGTCTGATCGATCAATGCTAGACCTGTATATGACACTTATGCCGCTCTCACTTCGTCGCTCTACCACTTTCGCTAGCCTTTTTAACGTTCCATTTTGAATACAGAAGACAAAATTTGCTGTGCATTTACTGTTTGCACCCTGTTTGCATTTAGTTTGCGTTTCTCCCATAATCTTGCATCTTAGAGTACTCTCTGCACTTTAATGCTGGTGGAACATGCAGTTCTAGTAGATTAGAAATGAGACCAAAGTATACCAAACTTCATTCCCATACTTCCCTTAATTTGTATCATTCTCTATTTTTACTTTAAGTTATGTGGTTTTTACAATTTTGTTTTTAAATATGTATAGTATTTTTAGGTGAAGTTATAGCTATACTATTTGTGAATGCCTAATGCTCGCTGATACTATTGCATTTTATGGTCCCATTAAAATATAACTCATTATCTACATGAATCCTTACTCTTCACCTAGTACTCAAAACTGTATTCTTACCTTTCTCGTTCTGTGTCCCCGTTCTGAATCGTCCTCGCTCCGTACGCAGATGCACCACTCTTCTGTTATATCATTCGTGGCTTTCCGCATTCGACTGGATCTGCCATATCGCAGCTTGTCTGAGTCCTATCGTATCCTGTTTACTCCTTAAACCAAAACCAAAAACAAACACTTCATCATGGAACCCAACCATCGCTGCTATCTGGGTCGAGGTACTTAGTTCTTGTGATTATAAATTCCCCTGGTTAGCCAAGTTAAGCAAGTGGATTGTGCAATCCAATCAACATGTTACTCAGGTGAGCTCAAATTCCACACACTCCTACACACACTGGACGTTAAATCCATGAAGAGTCTTCATGCCTGAACTGTCTACTGCAAACATCACTACCATCAACCATGACCAGTACAAAGTTTGAAACCAGATTCTTAAAAATATTATTAATAATTGATATAAATTTATTTTGTCACTCGGCTATCATAGTTCACCAATCAAGCGATATGCAGTGATTAAGTACCATAAAAGGTTCTAATAGTGATTAGTGTATCTCAATTTTGATGCTTAATATGGACCCGGTTGATTGACATAACATGTCCACTATCTATAGTACGACATGGTACAAATTCACATATTGCACTCTAACTTTCTGGAGTGAGACCTACTGCAATACCGGTGTGAGCCAGATTTACATCCTCCAAGATATGATGGGTCTGAACGCCGTCCCATCCTTTACCAACCTTGTATATAAATCATTTCCCCCTTCGCTCACAATATAATATCTACGTACCAAACTTATTCATAGAACACACCATTCTAAGTTCGGGCTTGAGATGTCCTTCATGCACAATGGCTACCAAGACTGCTCCCATCATACTAATCTCAGCAGTTGGGTAACAGCAATGGCTAAATGATTCCTTAGGAAATTTCCTTTCATTTACATCACAGAATCAACACATTGTGGTACTCATAGGTTACATGGGCGGACCACCAAACGGGGGGAGGGGCAAATAAGTCAGCTTTCAATGACTGCCAGACCCTTCAGGAAAATCTGCCAAGGCTCAGTCAGATGTCTCGTCATCTCCTCTCCTTTGATCACTTCTTTTCAGAGACCTGGAAGAACTGAACTATGATTACCAACAAAACTACTCATAACCTCACCTCCAAAAATGCGTTGAAATGCCACTCGCAAAGCCCCATGATAGAAACACTCATATTTCATATTACATCCTGCTGATCTTGCCCTCTCATTTCTGATCAATAGTGCTCTGACTTGTAGATCGTACACATACACATCATCAACTATTCCTATCTCCCATCTCTCAGGCATAAAAGATATACACTATAATAGAATACCCTAAATATATAAAATATAAATCGTCAACGCTCTTGAATAGAGTAGAAAAAAGGTGACAATATGTATTCATGTTGCCATGGAACAAATAAATAAAAATCCATTTTATATGTTTTTTAAATAAACCCAATTACAGAAACATAATTTGTCTCATCTCATAGATTTAAATACTTCTGCCTTATGAGTCAATAACTCTGGTACTACAAATTGAGACTCAATGCAAGCCCATTCACAGGCGAACAAATTGCAATATTCTACTGAAAATGTGTGATATGTCTGAAACTTTCCTCACCATGTACCTATATCTATACCAGGTCACTAAGAGTTACAGTAAATATCCAAAAATGTACATCCATTACACAACTTACATCTGTTAATTTTCCCAGGGGAATTCTCTTGACCATATATAAAATAATTCATACCTTAATCCTTGCTCATTCACCATGCCTATTACTCGTGCTGACATCTTAGTTTATTTGACTGCTCCCTCCCCACTTCATAACATGTTCAGAATTCATACAATTAGATTACACTATAAACAACATCTTCACCAAACCATTGTTTAGTGACAATTCTATTCATAATTCTTCTCAAGGCATGCTGCAACCCCCTCACAAACCTTCCCTCCTCTACTTGGCTGCATACTGACCTCTCCACTCTGTAGCCTATGTTGACCGCCACTTCATATACATCTTATAATCGGGGTTGATAGGGTTATTTGGGAAGTTCGCAATATGAATTTTTTATCATATGCTCATCTTACTCACATACACAATTACAATCTGCCACACTCAGTCTAGAAACAATAGGGTGCTCATATCAGTTGACCGATAATCGTTGTGGCCATTTGTGACCCTTTGTGTTACCCAACCAAAGTCACTCGGAAAAGAGTTAAAATCTGTATTTGTCTGTGTTGGGCCTGTTCTGTGCTCTACAATGGTGTGATACTGATTGACTTCCTTAAACATCCAAATAAATTTAATTCCTGCTATGGAGAATGTGTACTTGTAATTAACTTCATAACAGGAGCTGTTGATGTCCTGTTGACCTTTGTTGGCCCCATTGCTGCAATCATAGTTCTGTATATGAGAGTATTTGTGGTGGCTGTGTCTCAGGCTCGAGTCATGAGGTCTCATATTGCACACTGTTACACTCAAGGGTTCAGTCAATGTAACCGCTAAGAAGTCTGAGAGAAAAGCAGCCAGAACTCTTGGTGTTGTTGTGGTTGTGTTTCTAATATGTTTCTGTCCTTACTTTGTCCCATCTCTTGTGGGCCAGGACACGTCAACCACTGTGGTATTTTCAATATTTGGGGTCTGGCTACTTTATTGTAACTCCTTTTTTAATCCAATGGTCTATGCTTTTTTCTACCCCTGGTTCAGGAGATCTATGAAACTCATTGTTACATTTCAGATACTGCAGCCTGACTCCTGTGATGCCAACATCCTGTGCCCAGATTGTAAAATATGATAGAATCAACTTGGACTGATAATTTATAAGTTATGATATTTTTTTCACTGATGTTACGATTGCTATGTTTCACAAAGAGTGAAAGAGTGGGATGATCATTTTTACATCACAATTTTTATTTTTACTGAAAAATATTAAAATCCTCACGATGTGATATTTGTTGGCTTCGAAATAAACATGTTTTCTACAATCTGGAAGATTTGTATATGACCTTTATTAAAACACTTTCAGCTAAGTTAAAGGACCCATGTATTCTTTTTATATTTTCCTTGTAATTGACCTCACAATTAATTCTTATTAAAATACATCCTTTATTTGTTTAAAAGGGAATTATTGCTTGTTACATATACTGACTATAATTTGCATCAACAGCATAATTAATGGATTTATGTTTAATTTCTATGTACTGTTATGCTTGTATTGCAGAAACCATATCAAACTCAAACTTTGAGTCTGTGTGTTATCATTGCTCCCCAGGGTGAAATAGGAATACATCTCCACTGCCTCCCCTGAATAATTCTTTCTATGGTCCTTCGAGCCAGATACTTAGTCCACCTTGGTGACCAATCAAAACGAGCAGAGGCAATGCACTGCAGTTGCAGACAGCACCACTCCAGACGTCAAATTCCATCCCATCTTTTTCCTATCAAGTGACACTACCACAATCCTTACTGACACCTGGTACCACCATAGCCACCCTCAAAAGGGGCCAGGGGGACAGCAAAATAGCTGATGAAGCCACACAGCTGGCTCATAGAGGGCTGGCCGAGCCTCCCTCTGCTACAGTGCAGCTATCACCAAGGCAGCATAAGGATGATGCCATAAGTCATGGAGCATATGGAGGTGATAAGCATGATTGAGGTGGACAGACTCAGCAGTCATCTGGAGGATATTCAATGGCTTTACCGTCGTAGAAGTCCCCTGGCGGTCATGAAGAGGAGCTGGTGGGAGATGACGAGTCAGATAAGGACTCAATGGCTTCACACCATAGACAATAAAAACATATGCACACTGGATTCATACAGCATCTCCCCTTATATGTCAAGCTCCACTTAACTGCGCTGCCTGGTCCTTATCATGGCAACCACAGCCCATGGCTTTTACAACCACAACCTGTACTTTGCCGTCCTCACTGCCACACCTAATTACATCCTCACAGTTGCCATCTACGATACTAGGTCAGGCTACCCTGCACCTTGGCAAGATCACGGCCAGGCCAGTGTCCAGAGCATCGGTGCCACTGATACACCAATCATCATCCTCCTATAATCCTGTTCAGCTGACATACCAAGCTGCGCCTGCAGCCTCCCTGTACCAAGCCCCGGTCCAGATGCAATACCAGTTGCCAGATACGGGGATTCCACAACTAGCCCAACCTCCCGCCCCTGTTCTGTCACCACAACGACCTCTACCTGTACAGCCTGCTTTCCAGCGTCTGTGTATGCAGATTATGCCAATCAAAGTGCTTCTGTGCAGTCGTTGTACTCACCTCTGCTCATACAGTATGCTTACAAATGTTAGGAGTCACCATCTCAATACCCATCTGGGCATCCTGTTTACCAGGCTCCAAGCAGTCACTGCTGCATAAGGGTATCAGCCTCCTTATACCATGCCTAGACGGCCCGCATATCAGCTGCACAATAAGTACTGTGCACTGATAGAACGCCTGGTCTTAGAATAAGCATGACATACAGCCCAGGCTTGCCGCAGCTATACTCAACATAAAGCCAGCTTTTTAAAGGTTTCGCTCAAGGGTTCACTGGGAATGGAACTGACTTGCAATGGGCATGTTTTGTTGAGCATCTGAAGGTTTAGGGGCAGGTTACAGACATATAGTCTTAACTCCTACAACTTGCATGATCTTATACAATGGTTGAAGTCTAAAGCTGAAGCACAACAGTTGTCTGCAATATGGAGCACTGTGTAGCCAATATATAAACTGTTGATTGATAGAGAGATGACGAAGCTTAGCGTCTTGCTCATGCTTGTTTATTTCTGACACATTTACAAACAATTTCCAGTCACATTTTCAAGCTTTCTGATTTAAGTGCATGTTAAATTCATAACAAAATATTTTACAAATTAAACAAGAAATGTTGTAACTAAACTACAATAAATGATATAAAACATTTTGTCTAAATTAAAACAAGTTTACATGAATTCAAAATAAAGGTAACATATTACAAATAAACAAAAATTGGCTTATCGTGAAAGATTTTTGTGTTTGTGTTTTGGTCTTATGTTTAAGTGGCCCTAAGGGAAAAAGGTGATGTTTTGGTGTATGTGTGTATTAAACAGTGTGTAGGATTTAGTGGCATTTAGTGGTGTAGTTACAGATTGCAACCATTTGAAGACCACTGAGGCTTCCAAAGGTGCAGGAATCAGCTACAGTGGCTGTGCATTTTGTAAAATGAAATGAAATGCCCCTATCTAGTGCTAGTGTTTGGTTTCTCTCACCTGGACTACTGTAGAAACATGTTGGTTAAAGATGGTGGCCTTCGTGGAGGGAACTCTCCTATAGTTAAAAACGGCTCATTCCAAGGTAACAAAAATACAACAATTCATATATTCAGGTTATTATACACGAATGAAAACATAACTATGAATATTATATTCCTTTTCTGCCAATACATCCTCCTAAATGTTACACACCAGACCTTCAAGTGACATTGTGCAAAAAAACATTTTTTGGGTGAGTTAAAAATATAAAGTTGTCTTATATGTCACGTGTTTACAACAAAAGGTGTTTATCTGATTAAATTCCTATACCCACTTCTCTCAGGCACCACTACACCACTGGATGTGACCATGCAAATGGACGGTAAAGTCACCAGCACTTGAACGCACCACGGGTTTCCCAGTAGAAACGCCCTGTTGGGTGGGTACTGACAAAGCGTCCCAACTCCAGCAGAAGACACAAGAAAAAACAGAATATATTATCTGCAGTACACAACTCTGTGTCTCAATATCGTGCAGTATCTTTAGTAAAGTAATCGATAAAACAAATCATGCGCTCAGCTGATCAACCACGGTACACACGGGACTCCGGTTTGTGTTTCCAACCACGGCACGTTATGATGCTACTGTTGCTGTTGCTGGGTGCTTGTTGTTGTGTGGGTGAGTAAGAAGAAAATAAAAACTAATATGAGTCCTTCTTTAGCGAGACTGCATGAAGGTTTATGCTGTTTCCCAGAGTATGAAGACTCAGTAATATGATGCTGTACTGACAAATTAGTTTTGAGGCATTTATACTTTCAGTTTTATCT